AATTTTTGCTCACTCCTCCAGGGCGATGTTCTCTTTCAGGTATGTAGTTTCCAAGGTAGCTTTAGACATCCCCTGATGAGGGATCAAAGTACATCTACCATCTTAGCTGGCCACTGCAGGAGGTGCAGAGCCACTGCTCCTGTTAGCGCAGATCAGGATGTCTGGTGGCTGAGTAAACGAGCACCAGCTGAGCTTCCCTGTTCTGCAGGCTACCAGTGTCTGGTGCTCAGCCCCCGATGGCTGTATTGTAGATGAGGGCTCAGCACACTCTGCCCAGATGTTCCCCTGTTTGCAGACTGGTGCAGTTACACTAAGCACCATTATCTCCTTTATGCTTGCTTTCCTGCTCTGTGGGTGTTTCCCTTCTTGTGCTTTAACCTTTTACCGAAGCATCAAATCTTTTTGTCCTTGCAAAACTGGAGGCTCTCATGTGACAAGCTGAGCTTGTGACGTGGAGGTCCTGAGCAGCTGTTGTAATGTCTGCACTTCTCTTTTTGATGCTGTATGCACTCTTCCACCCTGCTTAGCAAGGATCAGGGTTGCAAAGGTGTGAGCTTTGTAGCTGGATCAGAAACCGTGCACTGTTTTTAAGGTGATACCCGTGGTCAGGAGAAGTGCCATTACATATAACTTTTTTGGAAACACATATGAAAACAATAACCCAGTTACTATAATGAGACTGCTGGGTTTTTTGTGTGGTACAACACCTGCTTCCACAGAGATTAGTTCTCATGTGGCTTAATTTTGTTACAAAGCCTGAACTAGAGCTGGCACCAGAGGAGATGATTTTACTACTGTCATAGCCAATTCTTACCTTATTCGTTTTTCAGGGTTTTTGTTTTGACGGTTCTAAATATGCTGTCGTTTGAAGGTCTGTAAGTGTTTTTGTGATCTTCTCAAGAGCCTGCCAGGTGCTGTTGGTCAGTGCTTCGCTCTGCCATCGCCTGTGTGCTGTGTCTGTCCCCGGCACTGCAATTTCAGCACTGTCCTTGCGTTTGCTCACATCTACGGGCACAGTCAGAGAGTCTGACTGCTGAAGAATGGGGGCCTTTTATTTGCAGCTTGCCAGAGTGAAGGTTCCTTTTGAAGTATAGAGATGGGTGAGATAACATTTGAAATCGCTCAGTATTTTGCAACTTGTCTGTCTTACCTGTCTGACACTATAAAGTAATTTGAGTTGGGATTCGAAACCTGCTTATTGCTTTTAAAATACCCTACAATTCTGTGTTTCTGTTTACAGTTCACAAACAGTAAAAAGTTGTTGCTTTTTTAGTAATTTCACGTTTATTTTGTTTATTTTCTTTTCAGCTTGAGAAGGCGTTATCAAAAAAGCTGGAGGATTTTGAAGGTATAAGTTGTGTTTAGTGTAACATACTGCTCATTTGCTCAAAATTACAGCAATGATTGCTGAGTTTTATTTTTGCTTCGACACCACAGGTGAAATATCGAGCTATCAAGATGAAATAGAGATTGAATTAGAAAACAGTAGACCAAAAGCAAAAGGCGTATTTGCAAATTTCAGTAAAGATGGTAAGTCTATAAAGTCTCGTGACTACTTAAGTAATAATGGGTTCAGATCCTGCAGGGAGTCTTAAGTGTATGAACTTCATTGTGATAAATGTGATCATATATAAGCTTTGTAGTACAAGATCTCTGTTGCGTTGGGGTTCTCTCTGCCAATGAGTTGGTTCAAATATCAGTCTTCAGAACAACTACATTGTTCATTACAATGGCAGTTCATTAATTATTTCAGTTGTTTTTCTTTCCTGGTGTAGTATAAACTCGGCGCTGGCGCCTGAGGAGGTGCCTTTTCATCACTGAAAGTTCAGTGGACTGGACCCTTCTGTCACTGGATCCCCCAGTTCACTGATCGATACAGAAGGGTTTTGTGCAGGTTGAACTGGCTATTTTTTGTCTGTAATTACACCAGTAAGTAGCCAGCTTCTCTCGCAAAGCCCTTTTACCTGCCATAATTTGATAACACAGTAGTTCTACTTTAAATGGTGACTGTATTTTCAAAAATACATTTTAATAGCCAAGGTAACGAATTTGAAGAGCATCTGGAAACTCCATGTATTCATACATTGTACTAAAATATTGTGTATTTTTTTCTACAGATTTTCTCTAAAGATTTTTATTCTTTAAATGAGCGCCTCTGTATTTATTTAGCTTCTGTAATAGATGGTATGCAATGATGTATTGGGGTTTTTTCCCCCTTACAGATTCTATAGAAGATAATACCTCTAGTATACTTGGTGAGGAGGAGGCAGAAGATGAGGAACTGGAAGCAGCTGCTAATCACTTGAACAAAGACTTTTATAATGAACTTCATGAGAAGGATGGAGTAAAAAAAAATGAAGATGAGGAATGCAAAAATGGAAGTGGAGCTCTTGTAAGACCACCAGCACTGGAATCCTTGCTTGGCCCGCTCCCCACTGCAGCTAGTCTTGGCATAACAGAGTCCATAAGAGAGTGCATATCCACTAAGGACCGAGAGCCTGGTGAGTCGGAGATCAGTTCAGCTCAGAGTGGAAACGGGACACATGCAGCCAGTTATGGGTTTATTGTGTAATTTCCATGTATCTTCATGGTTACTGTGGTAGCAATTCCGTGAATCACTGTTAACATCAAGGTACAGGAGCTGTGAGGCTGGATAGGACCGGTGGTCATGGTTGTTGATGTTGGTCACTGGCATCTGCTCCTCAGGAAGCTACAGGAAAATCTGGAGTGCCTAATTATTTTCTGAAGTCTGAGAATATGTATCTCTTAGTTGAGCAGATTTGCAGTCATATGATAGCTGATGGGCATATTTCAAACCATGCAGTCTCAATTAGGAAATTGGAGGAAGCAGATTCCTGTAAATATGACTGGGAATTAAAACCCAAGTATGAGAATTTTAGATCAACGCAGACTTTCTCAGGAGGCATTTTACTGGAGTCAAACATAATGCAGTCTGTCTCTCTGATTAAGAATCTTTGCAAATGGCAAATATTTAATACGTTTGTAAGAGGAAATAACTGGTTGCATGCTTCTTTCTTTGATATGAACTTTGATGTCTGTTTTGGTGGTTTTGCTCCATTTTTCTTATAACTCCCAGATCTAGCTGTAACACATAGATCTGTATAGTACAGTGGGAGCAGCACTGATCAATTAAGGAAGCCAGTTTTGCCAGAACCAGTAAGGCAGACAGTACTGCAAACAGGCAGTCATCCAGGCAGGCTTGTTTGCTTTTTCTTATATGTGCTTGAGCTTTGTGGAGATGGCATTTTTAAAAAATTCCTTTTGCATCTTAATGACTCCAAGAATGGAACATATCTAAAGGACGTTTTATTCTTTTTTTTTTTTATCACAGTTAATTTTTCCATCATAAGACACACCTGTCTGAATCTGTTTTGTCAGCTTACTTGGGGGTTGATACAGCAGAACATTTTGTTATCCAAACTGTTCTCATGGTAATTTCCATTCAACAGTGCCTAGTTATGATAGGTGCCTCCCTCAGTAGATGAATTTAATGCATATTATGTTAGTGTTTGCATCCCAGAAATATAGTAGGATGATTTCACATTTCTATTTTGTACAAACAAAACCATATAGAAATAGTTGAGTTGTTTTGGTTTTGTTTTAATTACGATTAAGAAGATGGATGGCTTGTAGCTTATCTTTCTCCTGGAAAACAGCAGCTCATGTCAAAGAGAGGTCAGCAATGGCTAGAAGCTGTTGTTGTCTGGCTAGCCAGTGACCTGTAAAGATGAGTTCCTAGTGATGGACGTTTCTCAGCTGGCATTGCTATTGACCATTTTAATGGACAGGCTGCGGGCTGAGTTTAAAGATGAAACTAAGCTGGTATAGGCAGGTATGTTCCTCTGAGTCGGGCTGCAGGCGGGTAGGCAGGAGAGCGCATGGCTGCTCATGCTATGGCTTGTCTGCATTTGCTATTTGTTTTCTTTCAAAAGCGGAGGATGTGCCAAATGAACTGAATTTCAAAACCAAATAGGTTTCAGTATGTTCATTCTCTTTTAATTCATCTGAGAAATCATGGCGTGTGTTCGAACAAGTGCTCATTTTCTTAACATGTTGTGAAGCTCATATGCCGAATTACTGTTCTGGTTTTATTTTCATTGTAGATGCTGCCTCAAACTTTTGGGGTTTTTTTGGGTTTTTTTTGTGGTGACCTTGCTAATGTATTTCCATCATTCATAAGTTTCGTGTTAAGTCAGATTCACTTCGGTGATGTCTGTACTGTGAGGGGGGTCATGCTGGGGTGCAGTTCCCAGACTCCGAGCTCTTGCCGTGTGGTGCCTGCGTGGTGTGGGAGCATCGTGGTTTGTGTGTTCATCATCCCCCTGAGGACCTGGTTTCCTTTGGGAGGTCATCTGGGTTCAGGAGCAGTAACGGAGCCTCGATGAGTTTTGGATAATCGGGAACCAGGTCTAGCAGATAGGCTGGGTAGTACACCAGGCTCAGAGTTGGCATGTTACTACGTAGAATAGAGAAAACCTCTTTGTTAAGATGCATCCTGTTGGTCACCTGTGCATCTGAGCTCTGAACCTGGATGAAAACCCGTGTAGATCTTTCTGTCACCTCAGGCAATGATGTCTTGAGTTCTGCCTCACAGCTCTGGGAAATCTGGGAAAGGTTTGTACCCAGAGGTAGTATCATCTTCTATCAGGCCAACTGGTATAGTTGTAGAAATCAGACAGTTTTGAGGTTTCTGGGCCCTTCTTCAAGTCTGAAAAAGAAATGGCAGTTTTCTAAACTAAATGTAGGATGAGAGCAGTTCGTCAGAGTTTAATTTGAGATGGCACAATTACAGATCATCTTGAAACAAATGTGGTTGGTACCTGCGGAGGGAAGAGGGAAAGATAATAAAATTTCCTGAATTTTTCCTGGGTATTTGAATTTAGTTTAGTGCAGTTTATGTTGTGAATCTCAGCTGGCCATAGGTTTGTCATGGTATTTCATGTTCCAACACCTAAGTCCATTGGACAAGGGAGACAATCATCCCAACATTGCACCCTTGAGGTGATGTTTTGGTCCTTGTCCACAGCTGTGTAAGTCATAAACCAGGAACCTTTCCCTTCCCTCAGCCCTCTCCAACCCTGAGTCACCTTCCACCGTGTGGACCGTCTGGGTCAGGTTGGGCTGGACCCCTCAGGGGGGATGATTTTGTGTCTCCTGCTGGGCTCTGTGTGTTGTAGGATGGGTGTATCACGTCCAGTCGGTGCAGCAGTTGGAAAGGGCGGGTTATCTCCTCTCCTCTCTGTAATGATCTCTCTTCCTCAGAAAAAGCTCTGCTGTAGGTACTTTCTACAAAGTGTTTTCGTTTGGCTTGTGCGTGTGGTAATTCAGTTTATAACTGCCTACATCAGCCTCTTTGGGAAATCTTCCACCTTTGTGCTACAGCAACAGCAGAAGGTTTCTCACAAACTGCTTATGCAGATAAGACTTAGGTGCAGAGCCCAAGTATTAAGAAAAATGTAATGTATTTTTGGTCCACTTAAAATTGGTATTTGAGCCGTGTGAGCTTGTCTATATGAATGTTTGATGGAAAGCATAGTATTTTAGCAAATTTGCATTACAAAGAGAGCATGTAAGGTACCGGGTTAATGAGTCTGAGGCAGTAAAGTGCTTCGAATAAACACTACATTTGACTGTTTTTTTGTACAAATTTGCAGAGACATTTAAGCTAAAATCTGTTTGAGTCTTTACAAACAGCTTCGTTCTTATTCTTCATGGCAAAAGTGCTTTATTGTGAGATCTCCATTTCAGAGATGGAGATGAGGTAGATCAGTCTGTTTTCCTGGCCGTGCACCATCCCAGCATCCTCCCCACGCTCCGTGTGTTCCTTCTGATTCTGCAGTTCCTCAAAACAGGGCACCCTCTCCTTTAGAACACTGCCACACTCAAATACCGTGGACTCCATTCTCAAGAAATAAATTTTTTGATGTAAAATTTCCCATTGCAATTTATTTTTATGTCCCTTTTATACCACTTCAGGTAATTTATTGTCTGTCTTGGTGTTTCCGTCCTTCTCATGTTTGCTGGCTGTCACCCTGTCCTTCCCATGTCATGCTGCTAGGCTGTACACCACCAATTCATCCCTTCTTGCCACATAAATCAAAAGTCATAAACTTAATTTTGAGCAGAGCTAAAAGTGAGGAAGGTCTGATAATAGTAGAGATAAAGGTAAAATACAGGCTATAAGCTACAAACTGACTTTACATACCTTCTCCTTCGTAATCTAGGTAGTGTTTGAGACCTGTTTTTGTTTTGAATCAAAATTCACATGCAGTCATTTAGGGCGATAGTTTCAAATAATGTATGTGAAGTTGGTGGTAACATGTTCCCACACGTACTCATGAAAGTAAGCGGCTTTTGCAGTGAGAAATCACCGTGCATGTACCATCTTGTGCTTGGTTAGGCAACAAGCTAACCGCATTTGCTGCTAATTTCACAATGAATACATGAGAAAGGTTTTGTGCTTGTTCATAATTAATAGTTTGCTCATTTATTGCTTCTTGTATTTATGCCTCCATTACTCGTGCAGGAATAATCTGACACAGGCTGAAGTTGGAAGATGTTGCCATTGATTTCTGTGGGTGTTAAAGACCCTGTGCAGACAGTGTTCATTGATTGAATAGTCACCATCCCTGGCTACCAGCACTTTTCAACTTCTTACTCCAGGAGGATGTGAAAAGTGGCTAAGGATGAAGTTAAGAAAGGCAGGGGGGCTCATCTTCCAGGGTGTTACTCTTTTCCTCCGGATTTTCACCCTACCAGCTGCCAGCTCCCACTTTGTACTCGTCCTGGCCCTGGGGCTTGACTGATCCCTCAGTGAGCAGACTCAGCTCCCTAACCCAGTGAGGAAAAATACATGTGTGCATGATCCCCCCTATTTTTTTTTGGCAGCAGCAGCCAACCAGTGCCAGCAGCACTGCGGGCAGAGGAGTTCCTAGAAATGTGACATTTCTAGCAGGGTGTGAGCATCCCTGGAAGGATGCTTGAGGGCCTGCAGGCTGAAAACAGTTGGAGAATGGCTGTTGACAGCCACGTGTGCTGGGGAGGGTTGTTGGCCCCTTCCAGGATCCCAGTCTGGATTGCTGCATGGTGGAGGGCAGGCTCGCTGCTCTTACCATTGCTGCTCCATCAGAGGATGGGTGTTGACCCCATCTGTGTGCTGGTTTCTTCCTCCAGCATCCTCATTTCTTCTTCAGATTTTGTCTGAGTACATCAGTGCCAACTGTTTGAAAATATATAAATGTATACATGCATATAAAAGTATACAAAAAGATATAATCAGTAATTAGACAGAACATTATGAAGCCCTATTAAATCATAATTACCGCATACATGAGAAATAAAGCTGCTGAGTTTAGCGCTAATTGTGTTACATATGCAAAGTACCCTTGGTCATCAGTGTAAGAATTTGTCCCCATCCTGATCGCTCTTCGTCTGGCTCTGGCTTCAATGCTGTAGTTGCTTTTGTGGTTTTAAGCCCAAC